ACGCGTCACTGCTGTCTCCTCTCTGGGTGTCTTGATGAAGCCGCTTCAATCCGTTTGCCAGATGCGGATTTTATTATTATCCTGACTTCCAAGCATTGCTCGCTTTGAGCATCTGAAGACAAAGGCAGCTAATTAACAAATGAAATCAGCAAGCTGTGTAGTCCCAGCAGCTGAAAAAAAAAAAAAATTTAAAAAAAAAAAAAAAAAGACGATATAGCAAATATAGTGTGTGATCCTGCTCTCCCATTTTTTTGTGTCTGTGTGTGAAAATCCCCTGGAGTTCAGGTGAGGGTTGGAGGAGATGGTCCATGTCTCCTACTCAGAGATGATGTGATACCTCCAGCGCTTTGAATTCAGTGTAAAGAGGATATTAATAGCATCTGCCACACTTCTCTGCACCTTCTACACCAGCATCTCTGGCCGTCGTGGTGCAATTCACAGCACATTTAGATTAGACCCGTTTTGAGGAGCTTCTCCTGGGTTTTCTGTTTGTTTGAGAGCTCAGGGATGTGTGAAGGGAATTCTTCCAATAACAGTGTTTAGCATGCCGGTGCCATCTGGGTTTTGGAAACTGTTTGGTTCAATTCAAAGATTAAAGACTGAAAAATTGAGCCTAATGGTGGCATAAACCTCTGCGGAAAACATACTTCTGTAATTATTTTCATTTTGATTAATAGGCTTTAACTACGTAGCAACACCCATGACTTCAGTTTAATTTAAAGAATGATTAGTCAGTTAACTCTTCGTAATTTGATCAACCCAAAATGGAAATTTTTGAGGTTTTTTTCCTCTTGTAGAACACTTCAAAAATTTGTCTTGCTGAGCTTCTTAAAGATCTTTCTCCCTTGCAGCAAGATCTCCCTGTGTTTTCAGTGATTTCCCCTCTTCCCAGGTTTCTTGCTGTGCAATACCTGAAGTCCCAGCTTCCCTCCCAGACTGTTCCAGGGCTTTCAGGGAACAAACACTCACACATATGCACAGAGCTTTAAATAGTTGGGGTGTTTTGTGATTATTTTTTTTCCAAAGCATATTTGGAAAGTTGAATATCAATTAGTACCAATTCAATTAGACGTTGAAACTGGAGTTCTGGAGAGCTTTGTCAAGAGGGGAATGCCACCGGGATCAGTTGGCTTTAAAATAGCCTGTCCACAGGCAATGAATTCAACAGTTGCATTGCAATAATTCTGCAGAATTATATTATATATTGGCAGTATAGATATATATATATAAAAGAAGCCTATTTTGGGTTACGTTTGCAGCTCTGGCATTGCCTGAACAAAACACAGTCTTGTATAACAATCCAGTAAAACATTTGTCTAACCCTGCTTTGATGCAGCTGCTGAGATCCTTCCAGCGCCACTGATGGAAAAATCACTCAAGTTCTGCAGCACAAATTTGCTATTAATCTGACCATTATGAGATGCTTTGTCAGAGGGCGTGCTACGTTTGTGTTCCCAACTGACATTGCTTTGAGGTTTCCCTATATTCTTACTAAAAATCCATTCCTTGCCATAGTACAGCACCATGGAGAAAGAGAGTACCTGGTTCTCTATGTTCTAGAGGAGAACTGTTGCTGGAGGGGGTGAAGACAGATCCAGAACAGACCCATTGCAAGAGGGCAGGTAGCGCAAACGAGGAATGGCATCACAGCTCATGGTATTTTGGAATAATTTGGGTTGGAAAGGACCTTTCGTCCACCCCCCTGCTCCAACCAAGACCATTTACTCAGGGCTTTGTCTAGTAAAGCTCTGAATGTCTCCAACGACTGTATCCCCCAGCCTCTCTGGACACCTGGGGAATTTGTTTTCACTTATAACCTGGAGGAATTTGTGGTGTAACTTCGACCTTGTGGTCATTTGCTTTTCTGTCTTCATCATCTCTATAACTTCCCAGTAGTCAGCCAAAGATAGAAATTGGATCTCCCCTTCATCTTACCTCCTCCAGGCAAAGCCAAACCCAGCTCCCCCCAGCCTCTACTTGTATGGCACCTCCTCCAGCCCTCTGATCATCTTGGTGGCCTCCTCTGCACTCACTCCAGTATGTCCATATTTTGCCCGGTGCCGTCTCCTGTTCAGCTTCTCCACCAGGACCTCCAAGGCCTCAGCCTCAGCTTTCTTTGTGTCAGGATGTTGGTTGCCACCTTGCACTGGCAGACCTTCCAATCGCCCTTAAAAGTCTCATTTTTGGGCTTTAAGTGATGTAGTCTGCCCAGTTTGAACTTCATGAAAATGAAGTTAAGTCAAGACTTGGAACTCTGTGGATTTCACCAAAGAGAACGCACCGTCATCCAAGGGGAGAGATCGGAGGAGCAGTCCCCTCACTCAGTGTTGGAGACTCTTGGCTGTCAGTCATCCTTGTTTGTGGTTGAAGGATGTTCTTTCCTAAGCCAACACTGGAAAACATTCATGTGTGAAATGTTCTGTTGTTCATCAAAATACAGGGAACAGGTGTTTTGGCCTAGAAATTGAAAGGAGCTCATTTCCTTCTTTTTATTTTCTGTTCCATGAGTAGAAGACACAGCGTTTCAGCAATCTCTTCCCTTTTCAAATGCTACCGTGATTTAAAATAACCTTTAAAACAAAAATGAAATCTCATTAGAAAATGCCATCCTAATTTGGAGCAACAGTTTCATAATTTGTTTCTGTGGTATTAAATTAAATGTTTTGTAGAGTACAATGAAGGTAACATTTACTTAAAATCCATGCACTATTACAAGGCATTATTGCTCGAATTATTCCAAATTTTGGAACAGGTTTAGTTTCTAATTAATCAAGAGACTCTCAAGCTTTATTCTTGTTATGCAAATCAAAATGTAAGCATCTAAAGAATAATTTTTAAGTGCCAACTGCTTTTCAGTGTGGACATTTGAAACCTGCTAATCTATTCAGATTGCTAATGATGGGCTTCCTTTAACGATTCCCTGCACCTCTAATTTTTAAAAGCTATAAAACTCCCACATTTTTGAGAACTGCTGTGCTGATGGTCCACCTCACGCAATGCACTGTGGTTTTGGGGGTGTTTGGCTGGCACTTGGAGAAAGGACACGGGAGAAAAAAGTTTGTTGATGGTTCTTCCAAAGCAATTGTCCTTGTTTCCAACACCTTTGGCAAGGGACTCAAGTGTGCAGGTGCCTTTGAGAGTGACGGCCTTCCCTTGGACCACTGGTGGTCGTGCCAAGGTTGGACCACCTCCTCCTGCATTCCACTGAATCGTGGCCTCAAATAAATCTAATGAGTTGACATTTGGATAGTCACTCATGCAAGACTTTGCAAAAATAGGGTTAAATTTGTGGATGAATGATTAATTGAGTACAACTTACAGCATTATTTATATTTTGTTTTAAGGAAGAAGCACTGCTAAGGTTCTGAAGTTATTTTGGGCAAGGCTGGATCGCAAATGGGAACGTGTTGTTGCTGTGTGTGTGTAGGTCACATCATTATGGGGGTAACTGGGGATGTGCTTCCTCCTCTCTGTGGGCAACAGCATCGGTCCGTGTGTTGTACCTGTAGAAGCCAAACCTGGACCTACCTCTGAAACATGGGGCTGGACTTGGAGAAGGAACTTCTCCTTGGCTGCCAGCCCCCCAGGTAGGGTGGCTTCTCCCTCAAGCTCAACAAAGAATCGCTCACCACGTTATTTGGAGGTTGAGTGCTTTTAACTAGTAAGAGATGGTCATTGCTTTTACCCTTTTGGTTTTGATTTGTTTGGGTTTTTTCTCACCCCTTTGGCATAATTCAGGGTTTGAGAGGAAGCACATAATAAAAAATAGTAAACCCCTGCAAACAGGAATCTACTTGTTCCTGATGGATTAAAGCCCAAATTAATTAATTCGGTGTACTCACGTTCCAAGGGCTATTGTTATTTCTTCCCTATTTAGGATGAGTGTATTCTGTTGTGGGGATCCAATTTTCTTTGAGCTGGTGTGGTGGGAGTTACTATATGAAATCTGTATTTTAATCAAGAGAAGTATGTTCCAAAGCCTGTGATGAATTTACCTGCTTGAAGTTAAATGCATGTAACTGAAAGAAAGGGAATATGCATTAAATTACTGTATTAAATTGCTGCTTTAAAGGAAAACAGATGCATTCACATGATCTATGCTCTAGTGGATCCTACCATTAGGATGCAAATTAGTCTGTCTATTTATTTCCAAAGCTTTATAAACTATTTTGTCTAAGCGACATTTAAATAAAAATCACACATAGGAAACAAGTAGTAAAGATGAAAACCAGATGAAACCTCAATATTAGCGGAACCATAACAGAAATATGATTTACATCGTCTTATATAATATTGTATATATTGTTATATCCCAAAGACTGAGTTGTAAATGAATCACAGATCACAGAATCTTCTAGGTTGGAAGGGACCTTAAAGATCATCTTGTCCAACCATCAACCCAACTGACAAAAATAGACACCCACACAACAAACAAGAAGCATCACCATCACTAAACCATACCTCCCAGCACTACATCAACCCGTCTTTTGAACACCTCCAGGGATGGTGCCTCAACCACTAGCCTGGGGCAGCCTTTTCCAATGCTTAATAACCCTTTCAGTGGAAAAATTGTTCCCTATCTCCAAACTAAACCTCCCCTGAGGCAACTTGAGGCCATTTCCTCTTGTCCCATCCTTGGAAGAAGAGACTGACCCCCCCCGACTACCCCCTCCTTTCAGGGAGTTGGAGAGAGCCAGAAGGTCTCCCCTCAGCCTCCTTTTCTCCAGGCTGAACACCCCCAGCTCCCTCAGCCTCTCCTCATAAGACTTGTGCTCCAGACCCCTCACCATCTTTGTTGCCCTTAAGGGGCAGTTCTGCTGGGTGCTGTACAAATGAAAACAAACTCTAAATTGGGGTTCTGCTACTCCTAAAATATACATTTATGACGTTTCGAGCTGTATTGCCTCTATTTCGCTGTTGACTTGACGCATCATAGAACCATCATAGGGTCAACTGAAGTCTGATTTTCTTTTCTTTTTTTTTCCCCCCTGTCTTTCCAGATTTGGATGATCCAATCGTGACAGTCCACCAGAGCATCGGGGAGGCAAAAGAGCAGTTTTACTATGAGAGAACGGTGTTTCTCAGGTGCGTGGCCAACTCCAACCCGCCCGTGCGGTACAGCTGGCGGCGCGGCCAGGAGGTCTTGCTGCAAGGGTCTGACAAAGGAGTGGAGATCTACGAGCCCTTCTTTACCCAGGTATGAGGGGACAGGATTATTTTATTTTTTTTTCCTTCCTTAGGAATCTATTTAATCTACTTGCACCAGTTTTATTGTACCTAGACCTTCCTGTGTGTCCCTGCGGGGTTTGTGGTGCAGGTAAGAGGACGTGCCCTCCTCCATAGCTACGTCCAGCACAAATTCACCCAAGTGTTACTATAAAACATCCTAATATCAAACAGGTCTTCTAATTTTTTTTTGTCAAATTATGGAATGGGAAACTGTGGGAAGATGCACAGCGACTGCTGTCTGCAGGAGCCCCTTTGGAGTCATTTTGCTGCAAGCCCAAACCACTGATTTGACTGCTATTTCCTAATCTTTTCTGACACAATGCAAAGTAATTCTGCACAGAAGTTACACCCTAAGAAGCTTTTCAAGAAGGCTAAACTCTGTGGCATCTCCATGTGGGGTTTTTTTTATGATTTTTTTTTAAAATTTTATTCTGCCTTTCACTTGTTTGAATATAAGGTTTTCTTCCAGAATTACACACTTAAAAGATGAGGTGGTAAAAATGGAAAGAAGTGATTTTTTTCTGTCTTCTTGCTCTCACTCACAGCCACGGAGCCAGACTGGTCCATCAAAAGAGTCTGTCAGATTAGATCAGATTAATTTATTTTTAGCACATTTGCACATTTTCAGAATCCAAAGGTGGCCTATCCTATTGTCTATGGACAAAAGTGTGCGGCGGTGTTTGCAAAAAGAAAAAAGAAAAAAAGAAAAAAGGAGAAAAAAAAAAATTGGTTTGGAAAGTCTCAAGCAATAACGAGTAAAGACAGAGGTGAAAACTGTCTGGTAATTTGGTCTTCATAGCAGAAAGCAACCTGCAACTTTCATAAATAATTTTCAGCTAATGATGTGCGAGCACCTTCATTTTTTCCTTTTTATTGTACTTGACAGCTTTATATTGCTACAGTGGCTTGGTATTATACTGAGAAACGTGGAGCCCGGAACCTTGCGGAGATGAGAATTAGATTACATAGTCGAGTTATTGGTTTCCTAAATGTGACGAGATTATTTTTAATTTAACATGTACGGACCTTGTTTAGCAAATCTGTGGTTTGTTTCCTTGGACTCAACTGTGCAAAGTGGAGTTTTTTAATGTTTTAATTAAAAAGTGAGAGACTCCCTTGATATGGGGCTTTTTGTTTTATATTTCAACACGGAAATGCTGGTGATTACCTTCCCTATCAGCTAATAAGAATATAGCGAATAAAATGTGTCACATGAAATTTGATCCAATATTTTTTTAAAAAAATAAATATTTCTAGTTTACTAGGAGCATTCTACCTCGAACCTTTGTCTGGGCTGAATTAATGAAAAAATCAGATTGTCACATTGGTAGTCGAAAGCTTGTCTATAACCTTTTTACATTTATTGGAGGTCAGGCTGAATTAGTGTTTCTTGTCGCTGTGCCTACAAGATCTGATATATGTTTATAAGAGTAAAAAAAAGATGTGATTAAAGGTTCAAGAGTCATAAACGTTGATGTAATTGATTCAGTTTCTGATACAGTAACAAACAGTAAGAGCTGATGTGAGGAGGGATCGAGGAGACTAAACTTCAGAGCATCGTGAGATAGGAATTTCAGGTGGCATTTTTTGGTGATTGCTTTGAAGGTGGATTATCAGTCTAAAATTCAAATTAAATGTAAACAAAAACAAGTGGTAACGCAAATTTTCTAAGTTATTTTACCCAAAAAAGGCTAATTTTTCTTTCCAGTGGTTTTCTTGCTTTGTTAAATCATAGAAAGCTCCTGGAAAACTGGGCATATAAAAAGGAATTCTTGAACGTCAAACGTTTTTTTTTTTTTTGATAAGCCAGGCAATGTCAGCTATTTCTTTTAGCCACGGGGAGAAAAGTTGAGTGAAGATGCTCATTCTCATCTCTTGGGAGTATTTGAAACACTAAACTTCTCAAAACCACTAAACCATTCTCAAAATCTCGATGCAGAATTTTTTCCTAAGAGTTTGCATCATCCTCGTTGCACATTGTGATTGCGCAGCCTGAATGCCAGATTAAATTTGCTGTATTTACAATAATTATGCAATTAGACATAATTAGACTAATTATCCAAACCAGTGAAGAAAATATATACATTTTCATAAATCTCTGAAATCTGCGATACCATTGTGAGTTCAGCCCAGGGGTTCAACTTGGAGTCCAGAGATTGAACTGATGGGATGTGGCTGCTCCCCGTTTCCAGGACTCGATGACTTTGGTACCTGGGTCCCTACAAACCTGGATCAGGCCCTTTTCTAGCCCAAATAAACCTCTTCCTAAAGTCCTATCTCTGTCTTTAGGAGCAGCTTTTCAAATGCTTGGTCCTGCAAACACTAAATCAGCATGTGCTTAATTATGTGCTTAAATCACAGGACTTCTGAGGGACTGATTGCACATACAAAGTACTTCAGTTCCAAAGCTACCAAGCTTGATTGTCATGACTGTCTCTCTTCTTGTCTGGCCAGCTGTATCTTCTCTTTTCTTGATTTTTGCTAGTTCTGTACACGCATTTTCACAAACTACCATCGTTTGTATGGCCTTATATAGGCCCGTGCAGTTGGTGGACATGATATTGTTCAATGAAATTCCATAAAAGGAATTCAGTTGGTCAAGCTGTGGTAATATTAAAAGTTGTAGCGGAATTAACAGGACACGTGATAATGAGCATTTTGCAAAATTTGCTCTTTTAATGATTTATAAGCCTATTCTGAGTGTCTGCCACCCTGGGCTGAGGTTCTGCCTAAGCCTTCTCTAGCCATAATACGTTTTTAGCTAATTAGTATGAACACAGGCAATGGGAGGAGACTGAAAGCGGAGGAAGTTTGTTATTTCAATGCTAGACAGAGTAATGTGGAGGTACTGAGATACGTAGATTTGTCTGATGTTTCCACAACCCTCCACCCTGTTGAGCTCTGCTGTGCTCCTGGTGCTCTCCTTCTCCCTCCTCTGTCCCACAGCCTCTCTGCGTGCTCGGGATTTCACCTCTAACACTCCTTTCAGCTTTTTATTACTCCTTTTACTAACAACACTGTAAGATTTCTACATACAAATTTCAAAAACTTGCTTTTTTTCTCTCCTGAGTTTCTGCTTCTGCAGTGCCCATTCCACAGAGTACTGCGGCAGAAATCTGATATTTCCCAGTTTTCTCTTGATTGTGTCTGAAGGAACTCCTCCGTTATGCGTCCCGTGCAGGGCCCTGCTCCATCATTTACACTGCTGGCTAAAAATAAAGTCCATCAGCGGCTCATTTTCAAAGGAAGACAGCAGGATTTCTGTAGATTGTGGCTTTTTTCATCATGTAGATTGTACTTTAAGTTATATTATCCTGAATAATGCTGCAACTAGAGAGACTCTGTCAAACCAATTTCCCCCTCGCTGCTCTCTTTTCTTTTGCCTTTAATAAATAACTGGGGCTATGGTTTTAGGTTATACCAGCTGCCATTCTTTGGGAAAATTAAATAAAATATATTTTCTGGGCCACTTCAATATCTGCTTCTAATTAGCCATCTCTGTGTCTTCCTCTTGCCTCCTGAAAGTCAGTCTTGGTGTATCCTACATCCCTGGTCGTTGCTCTTTCTTGATCTCTTCCTAACCCTCTCTCTCGCCACACGCAGGGAGAAACGAAGATCCTGAAGCTCAAGAACCTCCGACCTCAGGACTACGCGAATTACAGCTGCATCGCCTCGGTGAGGAATGTCTGCAGCATCCCTGACAAGATGGTGTCCTTCCGACTCTCTAATAAAACAGGTGGGTCTCCAGCAGTGACCCTCCCCGGTCATTTCATGTCCCGCCGGTCTTTTCTGTTTCAATGTTGTTCTCTTGCTTAAAGCCTACGTGACCATGCGCAGCCACACAGTGGTAGGAGCTCTTCAGGAGCAAGGGGTACACACTGTTTGCAGGTGTCTTCTTTTTTAGAATCATAAAATCACAGAATGGTTAAAGTTGGGAGGGACCTCAAAGGTCACCTCATTCCAACCCCCTGCCCTGGGCAGGGACACCTCCCACCAGCCCAGGTTGCTCCACGCCCCCTCCAACCTGCCCTTGAACCCCTCCAGGGATGGGGCAGCCACAGCTTCTCTGGGCAACCTGGGCCAGGCTCTCACCCCCCTCACAGTCAACAATTTCTTCCCCACATCTCATCTCAATCTCCCCTCTTTCAGTGTCAAACCCTTCCCCCTCATCCTATGGCTCCCCTCCCTGATCCAGAGTCCCTCCCCATCTCTCCTGGAGCCCCTTGAGGGACTGGAAGGGGCTCCAAGGTCTCCCCGGAGCCTTCTCTTCTCCAGGCTGAACCCCCCCAACTCTCTCAGCCTGTCCTCCCAGCAGAGGGGCTCCAGCCCTCCCAGCATCTCCGTGGCCTCCTCTGGCCCTGCTCCAACAGCTCCATGTCCTTCTGCTGTTGGTGGCCCCAGAGCTGGAGGCAGCACTGGGGGGGTCTCTCCCCAGAGCGGAGCAGAGGGGCAGAATCCCCCCCTCTTTCCCTGCTGGCCACAGGGCTGGGGATGCAGCCCAGGGTGCAGGGAGCTTTCTGGGCTGCTGGCACATGTTGTCGAGGCGCATGGAGAGGGAGCTTTCTGGGCTGCTGGCACATGTTGCCGGGGTGTGTGGAGCCTTCTTATCAACCAACACCCCGAAAGTTAGAATTTGAAGGAGAGCTTTGATTTATTGCTCTCTGTCACTCTGGACTTGATGTCGGGATTTGCATTTCTCCCAGTGCCAGGGAGGTTCGTTGTTAGGGGTGGGCTTCAAAGCAGATACTGCAGGAAGGTGACAGGAAGGGACATTTCAGTCGAGGCTGGGTGTAGAATGAAAACAAATACTGAAATAATTTTCTCAGTGCTTTGTTGAAAACTAATTATTTTTAGTCAACAAAATATTTTAGGAAAAAGCAACCTTTTTAACATTCTTATATTGATTCAAACGAATGATTTTAAAATATTTTAGGAAAAAGCAACCTTTTTAATATTCTTCTTAATATTCTTAATATTGATTCAAACGAATGATTTAATATGATTGATTTGAAAGATTCTTGCATCGATTTAAACATTGATTCCTTGCATTGATTTAAACAAGTGTGTTGTTTCAGATTTAATTGGCTCAAATGAAAATATTGAAGCGGTTGAAACGTTTTATCTGTCTCTGACCAATCTGTCTCTGTGTTGTGGTGTTTCTTGTGCCTTTGCTCTTGTCTTTGGACTTGTCCCTGACTGAGCAAACAGTCAGTTGTAGATCCCTCTCTCTTTACAGTTGTCTCAGTGCTATGGATCTCGAGAGCCTCTGGCCAGTGGTTGCTCCCAAGAAGTGCAGTTGGGAATGCTGGTTTCCAGGAGGGTGGGAATTAAAGATTTCAAGTCTCTTAAAGGGTCTTTAAACAAGATTGGCAGAGAAATGGTTTATAAATTCGATGGCAAAGTCTTCAGCTTAGATTTCTAAGTAATTAGAAATTTCAAAGAAGTGTTTTCTGGAGAATGGTTCTGTGGCAAATGTTGTAACATTTGAAGATTTCAGGTTAGATTATGCTGAGTTACGCCTTAATAGCGTGTGCCTCGGGGCACTGAGAACAGGTAGCAAATGAACAAAACAGTGGAGGCATTAACATGCTGAGCGCATCTAAGATGAACTATGAATTTTATTTTCACTTGCACATTTCACATTATTTCTGTCCTCGCGGCTTTATTCCGAGGAGTTGCCTTCAGCTTTTTCTGAGTTTCTGATTTGACAGCAGGGACTTCAGAACGGCGGTGTGTAGCATTACCACACACAACCCACTGCAAAGCAAATTCACAGCTCAGCTTTAGAGCTGCCACTGGCAGCAGGGGAATTACAGCCAGCTCCGAAGGTATCTGGCAACATGATCTGGAACCCCTTAATTTGTTCTCTCGTTAATTTTTCCAGGGGAAAAAAAAAAATAATCATAATGTGTGGTTTGTCCCTAATTGGTTGCTCTGATTTTATACCACAAGAGGCATGAAACACTGTCTGCCATGGAGAGGGGCAGGTGGGAGCAGCTTTACTCTCAGCATGGATAGTAACTCCTCCACCTTCATCCATGAGGACAGAGGATGAGAGTTGTCACCGCTCCTGTGTGTCAGAGCCGTGGTTTTACTGTAGGAGCCAGAAGAGTCTCTGGCCTTATTGGACATCATCTGCAACAGAAGTGTGTGGGGATGGGGGAACATCAAAAAACATAACTATTCTGAACCGAGGAAAGGTGATCGTGATCTAATTTTGCAACAAGAATGAATTGTTTTCACCTGACAATTGTCGTGTTTATTTGTGGAGAAGGGTGTCTTGATAAACTGACAGGAATTGCTCTTCTGGAGTAATTTCCAAAGTAAACAAGCCTGAAAAAAATGATAAAGATTCACACTTTCTCATGAAGAGCTTGGTGGCAACCATCATCAAGGGCAAGATTAAATGCGTATAGTAATTACTGCAACAACTCATTAAAGTCAACAACTGATGTGTTGATGACTCTGAGACAAAACTTTTCTCATTTGGTATGACTTCATCTCATGTAGAAGTTCTTTGGTAGGACTTCACCTGGTGTAACTTCGTAGAAGTTATATAAATTGTAAATCTGGAGTAATCCAGGATAAATCCAAAGTAATGAAAATCAGAACCTGAACCTGATGCTCTGTTTCGGCATAGAGCTGTCCTGGTGTCCATCTGTTATTGGTTTAACTCTGGAGGCGTGTGGTGGACATGCCTATCAAATGGAAACAGGGTAGAGACAAACAGAAATGTCTGTACGGTGACAAATATGCACCATATTTATTGTAATTAATGTGGCTACAAGTGAATTTAAGGTCAGCTGCAAATTATGTGTTCATAATGTAAAATTACTGGCAATCTGGCTATTTGGTGTTTATCAGTTCTATAACCACAACAGCTGTGAGAAGTTTTTGTGGAACTTGGCTGTTAGTGATGAGAGAGGTGACTAAGGGGAAGAACCGTGGTGTACAGCAGCTGTGGGACTCCATCCCATTCCAGCAGTGATTTGCTGCACTGGTTTCAGGATTTTATGGCTGGACACGGGGACTGTTGCATGATTTTTGGGCTGCCTTTCATTGATAGACTGGTGAGTGCAGCCAGGAAGGTTTTTTCCCTGCGCTCCAGCTTGGGTTGCTCAGGGGATATCAGCTCTCCCAGAAACCAGCTGTGGATTGATGGACCATCTGCCTGTGGTGGTTTGCCATTCGCTGGGATTGATGGAGACAGAACGCCCAGGGCGCCTGGGAACCAACTTGGCTCCTGTCTGGCCTGGATTGATTGCCACCTCATGATTGCCACCTCATGGGCATCAAGGTCTCTTTGTCAGGCTGGGAGAGTTGGGGTTGTACAGCCTGGAGAAGTCTCTGGGAAGATCTTAGAGCCCCTTCCAGTCCCTAAAGGGGCTCCAGAAAAGCTGGGGAGGGACTCTTGATTAGGGAGGGGAGCCAGAGGATGAGGGGGAAGGGTTTGACACTGAAAGAGGGGAGATGGAGATGAGATCTCAGGAAGAACTTCTTTGGTGTGAGGGTGGTGAGAGCCTGGCCCAGGTTGCCCAGAGAAGCTGTGGCTGCCCCATCCCTGGAGGGGTTCAAGGCCAGGTTGGAGGGGGCTTGGAGCAACCTGGTCTGGTGGGAGGTGTCCCTGCCCATGGAGGGGCGTTGGAACTCAGTGTTCTTTAAGGTCCTTCCAACCCATGCTATTCTGTGATTCTATATTCCTGTGCGCACACCAAAGCTGAGAAGCCAAGTTGAGGAACACCAGGCATGTCTTCAGGTGAGTCGGTCTGGTTGCTGTTCAGTGCTTCCTGCCAGCTTGTCCCTGCGACCTTTTTGTTTTCTGTGCTTCCTCCATCGTGCTGATTAGTTGATTGCGTGTCGTGGCAGTACCAGAGTAACGATCAATTACTGTGGCAGCACCGGTCCGGAGGAAACTTTCCACGTACTTCTCCTTGAATAGTTGGAGAGGTAATTAAGCTGATGCCATCAGATGAACGTGTAGTCATCAGTACACTGTGGACAATGATGCAGGTTTGAAGTGTTCCATGTAGGCGTAATTAGGTACACTCACCCCGGCTTTGTTCAACAGCAGTGTGCTAATTATGTCTGTTCTGTGTGGTTTTGGAGCCTGAGCCCCACCATCCCACCCCTGTAGGTGCTGCTGGAGTTCCAGTGCCTTGGCACCGCTTTTCAGACCCACAGATTGTTTTGTTCCAGTGCAGACTAGTTTAAAATACAAAAAAAACCCCAAAAAACCAAACCACAAAACACCAAAGTATGAAAAAAAAACAACCACCCCTAAAGTGGATGTTGTAATGAGAAGCTGAGATCATCTCAGCAGCATGTGACCATGCATATGCTGAAGCCCAAGCTGACAATTAGCAGTAATATTGTGCAGCAGCAGGTAGAGGCACTTGTTGAGCCCGGACCCGCTTTGTATCTAAAGACAGCTATTACTCTGCGAATTTATTATCCAAGCAGATGAGAAATTTGAAGGCAGGCAGAAACACTGTGAAGTGATTCGCCTGCCAGCAGATTGCTGGTGAGCGGCAGGAGCAGAAATAGAAGTCAAGATGTGAGGAAGAACAGCAAAGGGATTAATTTTGCAGCTCTCATTTGTTTTTAGGAGACCGAGTCCCTTTAAAATCAGCACGTAGAAGTTAATTTGGGTAAGTTAATGCAAGCAGGAGTTGTAAAATCAAGTGCAGCTGCTCTGCAACAGAATCAAGGGGTTATTCTGACAAGGAGGAGGAGCCC